TTGGCTCAGAGACTTCTAGCACTGGCATATAGACATCTATAATGTGTTTCCCTCTCCAGTAACCTTCACCTCTAACATTTAACAAGCAATGTAGTTGGACTTCCGGTTGATGGCGGCACGCTCACGGACTCACCTCCCGGACCTCCCGGGGGTGTCTCCATGCTCTGGCGGACGGAGGGGGTGAGCAGGCTCGTAACCCCCCCCCCCAGGAGCCCGGGGAAGGGCACCTGGCCAAGGAGCTTTGAGGGGGTAGCCTCTTCTCTGGCCGAATGCCAGAGAATCGAGGCTCCCCCTTGCTCCAGTGGTCCGTCCAGCCGAGAAACCTGATGGTACAAGTGAAGCTAGCCGGGTCAAGCTCAGGAGATCAGGCGTTTGAAATGATGAATGAAGAGGGGTCGGAAGACCAACTATGAACGTGAGTCAAATGAGAACTGATTTTTAAACGAAAGACACTGCTTACCCGAAGCCGCGAAACGGCAGGAGCGAGTGGTGGGAGGGACGCCTCCCATGCTCATAAATCGTTGAGCGAAAGAGGAGGGAGTGGAAGAATAAACAAGAAATTGCCCAGAAGTACTCATCCATTGAGCTATACAGATAAGCGCATATTCAGAGACTTTAAAATTTATTGCGAAAGCAAACAAACGAGAAAAAGATGGTGGGGAAGAGGGACAGAGACAAAGAGAAACTTTTAAAAGCGAAACTAGAGTCGCCGGAAATGACCAGTGAGACGACGAAGGCGATGACAGAGGTCATGCGCCCTCTGCTGGAACAGCTCAATGTATTTAAAGAACAGATGTCTGTTGTAACAGCGAATATTACTGCAGAACAAAAGCAGCTGCAAGTTGTGACAACAAGCATTACTGCTCAACAAACGCAAATAACGGATTTGATTCAAGTAATGAAGCAGGATGCTGAGAAAGTAAAGGAAATGGTAGTTGATGGGCCAGTGGCTGATGGAGCACACTGCACAGCCAATGGGAGAGCCAGAAATGGCCAATACGTAAGGTATTATATATATATATATAGGATATTTCAGAATCCTTCTCTCCCAGACAACAAACACACAAACATGTCTCTTCACAGACCTTGTGTCCTTTGGGAATGTGTGTTTGTGTGGTGGGCAGTGCATCTTGAATCAAAAGTTTTGAAATTGTAGTAAGATTCTCGAAGAGGCACGTCAGGGATGCTATCCTGAAAGCAGTTGCTGCGACACCCCTGAAGGTGGGGGAAAATGCTGTCAGAACGCTAAAGGATATTCCATTTGAAGTAAGACAACGCAGAAAGAAATGCAAAGAACTTGTGTTTTTTCTCCAAACAAAATCAATTGGCTATAAATGGCTGTTTCCAGAAAGAGTAATATTCAAGATCAAGGAGAAGAAGGTCAAGATTGACTCTGTTCTTAAAGCTCAAGAGTTTCTAAAGGAGCAGCTGGGAAGGCCAGAGAAAAAACAAGAGGACAATAAGTCCAGTGGAGAGCTGGAAACTGGTTCGTCTGGTGAGGACTCTTTGTCTGAGCAGGGGGCATCAGCCCCAAAAAGTTCCTACAAACTGCAGAAGAGAGAGAAGAAGAAGTAAAGGCTGAAGGACTCTGAATTGTGCCTTTGAGAACTTTGGTTCTAGGGGGTGATGGGGAGCACTGTTATTGGGCAATTAAATGTAACTGGGGATGGTTAAAAGGGTTAAAAGATTGACACCGTTCATAAGAAGTACAAAGATGAAAAGTCTGAATGAAGTATAAAAAGCTAGTTGGAGATCTCCTCTCTTGGGTTTTTAGTTAGTAGTGGGTTCTTTACTTTCTCCCTTATATGTAGCATTCCCTTTCCCTTTTTTCTGTTCTAGTTTTTGTAGTGTTTAAAAAATCAATAAAAAATCCCCTCCGGGGACTTAAAAAAACACAAGCAATGTAGTTGTGCATCTGTGAGGCTGTTTTTGTATACTGTGGCTCTATAAATCATTTGAAAAAGATATACAGATTCATTTGAAAAAGATATACAGAGTGGACTGTGCATTTGATTTTAAAATGGCTCTTTTACTTTCTATATTAAATTACCAGTGTTCAGAAGTTAATGAATTCCAGATTGGAAGGCATTCTTCTTGCCTTTGTATGAAGTTACAGAAGAGATGATAGAATGCTTAGGAACTGTCATAAGGCCAATTGGTCTTCTTACATAGGTGGTATGTCAGTTGTCATTTTGCCTCACGAACCAAAATGCAATTCTATCCACCTATCAAGGAACCTTCCAAATTGTTTGTCTCTCTCTTGGACCACTTGTATGAGTCCCTTAACTGTCTTTTGAATACAGATGCATCCTCCTATCTAGTAGCCAGTATCCTTTCAGGCTGCTTTTTCTTTGTGTATTTTCCATCTGCTGTTCAATTAGCATTAGGTCACAGCATTAGTAAAATACATGTGGGGCCCATAAGACTTCTTGGGGAAATCCCTTCCCTGCTTTACTGACTGAGCCCCAGCGCAGCTGCCTCCACTCCAGGCCTCCACTGCTGCTGTGGCCAGGCCCAGAGCAGCTCCTTGGTGGCAATGGGCCCAGAGTGGCTCCTTGGCACTAGTGTGGTCAGGCCTGGAGTGGATCCAGGACACCGCCACCACACCTCCAGGACACAGGAGGTAAGTCCATTGTCTGTGCATGCACAGACAATGGTATTGGGGGGGTTAACCCCCCATTGTTTTAGTTTCACGTTTTTCTGCAAACTTGGGGGGGTTCCCCCAAGTTTGCAAAAACATCTGTTTACTCTCTGTGTGGGCCTGATCCACAGATTTAGATATCTGCAGATCAGCCCACACTTGGCCATTAGATATATAGACGTAATAGTTCCAATATGAAATTAAAATGTAAAAACCATTCCATTACTCATCCATTACTGCATTCATATATCTCAAAGCTGGTTTGTGGTGGCCAAGAGGGGCCTCAAGAGCTGCTGTGCTGCTAGTCCAATTCCTAGACATGGTATTTTTCAGGAAAATTGACAAGTAAAATCAAATGACCCAGTTACACCTAGTGCAAATGATTCTTTTGTTATATGATTTTACCAAAGGTGAGAAAGAATAAAAGGATTAGAGAAGTGAAAGAGATCAACATTCAGCAGCTGAAGTGAGATTCTCCTACCTCTTTCAGCAGTTTGCTCTGCTTGTGGTCTTACATGAATATAGTCCTCTCTTTGGTCTTGAACTCAGCAATTTTCTGTTGAACTTGTAGGCAGCTATGCCAATCAGAGGTGACATGCCCACTGAGACACACAACATCTGGCCCAAAATGAATCACTCGGTGCTTTTTGAATGCTATTAAATGACCATTTTGGTCTTTCTTTCCTGTCCTATCTAAAGCGTTGATGGATATTGCAGCTTAGTTACAAGAAAGAAAGGGTGTTGCAGGCAAAATGCCAGAGTTTCCACTATGTCCAAAGGGCAGGGTCAGAATCTGATGCATGTCTTAATGCTACTGGGGTTGTCCGCCTTACCAAATTGGCCTCTGATCCACAAGAGTCTGTTGTGTCCTCTTAACATTCAGGAAGCACCTAAATGACTCCAGTTTCCCTTGTCTTTATGAGGCCCTGTAAAAGATTGTTTATTCATAGCCTGTCGTACTTCTGCAATGTTTTTTATGTGTGGCCTCCCTTGTACTATGGCTCTTCTGGCTAGTAAGCATTTGGCTCACGTTTCACCAGCATGTATATTCTGTGCTCTACTCAAAGCCCATCTTGCTTATTTATAACTCCTTATGCATTTACGAGAAATCAGTCTGTGGTCTTCTTTGTTTAATGACAAGAGCCATTTAAATTCCCTGTATTTTGCTGAAGCGGCCCCTTAATTTTGCATTGGTTAGAATTGACATTCCTGCTCCTTCCGCTGTGTATTTGGTCAGCCAGTAACAGGAGTTAATTTGTGCTGTTCATCTATAGTATCATTTTCAACATGACTCAAGATTGCTCTCACCAGGGAGAAAAGCGTTTGGGGTGTTTTCCTGTCTTGAGATGTCAGCTAGGGGAAGATTAGTGTGAAATATTAATCTGCCGAGAGAGATGGCGTGTCTCTCACATACGGCTCAGAAACCTGATAGGCCTGGGTCAGCAGAGAGGAGGAGAACATTCGGAATTTTGTGAAACAGAATGATATCCACACACATCTGTACAAATAATTGAAATGGCCAATCAAGAATATTATGGAAGGATTTTCTCTTTACTAAAATGGAAGCAGATTTGGGAAACTGGATAAGGATCTCATGTCCCTTCAGCTCTTAGGCTCACCATTCTTCATGACACCTTATAGAGCTCTCAACATTTTGGCAGTCCATATCTCAATTTTAAAATATACAATACTTTTAATGATTTTATTGGAAAACATAAGCTGTGGTGAAAGGGCTAAAAGCAGACTGTTTTAGAGATCTACTTTTACCGGTTGATCATAGAACCAGCTGTATGAAAAATACTTTGTAAAAATTATTGCCAAATTGCCTTATGCCAACTCTATGCACACTGATCCTTTTTGTGGACTTTTCATGAACATTTGGGAGCTCTGGGCCATTTTCAGGTATGAAACTCATTTTGCACAATTTCATATGGAACCTGCCTATTCACCATGCCCTGAAAAATTCAACTTACCACAAATACTTTGACTGGTAATCTTTTCACCCCCATTTTAGCCTTGCAACATGGCAAGCTCAGTTAAGCTTCATAGTTTCTCATGTTTCTCAGGGATGCAATACAGTGCCAGGAAAAAAGTATCAACCAACAAAGATGACTTGGCACCCCTTCCTTGCCTTTGTTTTCACATGGGAAATAGATATGCTGGACAAAATCAAGCTCATCAGTTGGGCTTCTGCTTGAAGCTGGGTGGTGTCTTTATTTTCTTTCTGAGAGCAAATTCTAGTAGCAGGGAACATATTTTGAGAATCTCTGCTGTAGAGTGGTAAGCTATGTCAGTTTGATTCAATTTAAATTCTAGATACTGAAGCCAGTATTCTTTGGTTTCCCCTCTACCTTTCTAGGCATTTCAAGACTTGATGATCAAATCTTTCTGAACAGGAACCCTGGCATGCCCTCCGTAGTCAAGTTTCACCCATTCACCCCATGTATAGCAGTAGCTGACAAAGACAGTATCTGGTAAGACTCAGGATAAGGGATGGGCATGAACTGGCTGATGAACTAAAGTTTGTCACAAATTTTTACCAGTTTGTGAACTGAAGAACCTCCACAAACTTTCACGAATGTTGATGCAGTTCATGGCAGTTTGTGAAGAGCAGAAAGGAGAGGTTTAAACCCCTGATTTCTGCTCTTCATGAAAAACAGCTGAGCTGTTTGATTTAAATTGCCTCTTGCTTTCTGCTCCCCACAGCTTTTTGCGGGAAGCATAAAGCAGGGGTTTGATCTTTAAATGGCTCACGAATTGATATGAATCAGGTTAGTTCGCAAACCAACCTCCCAGTTCATATGAGTCTGTGGTTCAGTTCACGGTTCAGCCACAAATCATTAACTGAACTGCAAAAATGCAGTTTGTGCCCATCCCTCCTCAGGATGGTAAGAAGTTATCTGGCACTGATATTTCAGTGGCATACGCATATCTGAGCTGATAGCCTGTTTTTGTTTGTTTGTTTGTCCTCATTAACGTCTAGATTTGTTACAAAATCTTCTAATGCAATTTCAGCCTTATTGCTCCCTCTGCAGAAGCCAGAGCTGTAATTAATCAAGAGATGCCAAATGCTCTCAGGAAAAAAATACATTTGATTTGAAGTCAGTCTGTAAACTAACTTTTTGTATCCTGGGATAGCTTCTTGATATGTGAACTCACACTTCTGACTTGTAGGTTTTTTTCTCCATTTCTTAGCTTTTGGGATTGGGAAAAGGGGGAGAAACTGGATTATTTTCACAATGGAAACCCACGGTACACCAGGATCACTGCCATGGAGTATTTGAATGGACAAGACTGTTCTCTCCTCTTGACTGCTACAGGTGGGCATGCACTTATTTATAGCAGGAGAATGTGAGAGAGATTTCCAAGCAGCAAAAATGTTTTGGACCCAGTACTTCAGCTTTTTGCTACTGGCTTTCCCAACTCCAGAGCAATCCTCTGCCACCAAGGGTCAGGCTTTATGTGGTGCTGGAATTCCATTGCATTACATGGTGCTGGAATTCCTGTCATGTTTAACCCTAAGAAGCATTGGCAGGAGGGATGAGAAGGGAGCAGGAGCTAGCATGTATTGGGTCTGGAGTGCTGGGGAGAAGAGAGGGTGTCTGCAATCAAAATGTCATTGGCATACACATGAGGCTGCTTTAAACCACAGCTGGGGAGAAGAAAAAAAACACACTATGGAGACCAGAGTCCATTACAGAATGTATGCCCAGGTCTATGGGGCTCCATGGCAGTCTCTTGCACTTTAAAACCAAATAGCATTAGTGTGCTTTCTCCCTGGCATCTGATCGTGCCGGGGAGCAACTGCACGGCGGCTCACGGGATCTGTGTGATCCCACTGCCGCGTGTCTCTTTTGGTGCGGCTTTCAAAAGCTGCACTTTGCCCGCCTCAATTTCCCCCCCGTGTGGCAGGGGCCAAAGTATTACTGAACAGTAGCATTGTTGGATATATAATCATGACTGTATCCCATAGGAAGCGTGTATGTATGAGTAGGTGAAAGTAATAGCATGCATTTGTTCAGGGAGACAGCCACCCTAAAAGCAGACTGTGTTCAACAAAGCAGGCATGAACATTGCTCAGATAAAGCCATGTGTTGAAGACTTGTTTAGTGAAATTTCTTTGGAAACTATTAAACATAACACAATTTATTTCATTTATGGGCTTTTATGTTTGCCTGAGAGTCCATAGCTAAGGTAGCAATAAAATCCCTATAGGCCATCATTCATATATGCCCCAACCCTACCTGAACTCATGATAGTATTAGAATGTAATCTGAAACCAAGTTATACCTTTCTAAGTCCACTGAACTCTATTTAGGATTGAACTGTTAAGGTATCAAATCCTTCTCCACAACACAGAGACAAGAAAGCTCAATGAAAATTCTGTTCTTACTCACTGCACTTGAATGTTGCTGCTAACAATGTTTTGAGTTTTGAATGGGTGTGTTTATATGTATTTAAACGCCATAATTGTGGGAGGGGGTTAAAATATTGGGCATAGGACCAGAGATACCTGGGCTCCAATCTGTCATGCAGTTTACAGGCTGAACTAAGCACTTGCAGCGCAATATTCCTCACAGGGGTGTTGTAAGGAGCCCACACCCTGAGCTCCTTGGAGGAATGACAAGCTAAAAATCTAATACATAAGTAAAATTTAGGGAGGGAAACCAAAATATTTATATATCTTTCTCTGCCTGTGTTATTTTAAAATTAGAGCATCTTGAAGGTCCTTGTCTGTTCATTAACAGATAAATTAACAAAAAAGTATTGCTGGAAACATTTGCAGCAGGAAGTAGTCTTCTCCATCAGTGCTCTTCTGCAAACCATCACCAGTCAAAGGTGATACTTGTATATTTCCTGGACTCATTTTAAATCTGTCAGACTAAAGATTTCCCATTGATGAATTCTTTCACTTAATTAAGAAACTTTGGCAAAGGAGTTGTGGTGCCTCTAAAGCATCCTCACCTCCCAAATTTTCCTTCTGATTCTTAAAACTGTAAACTTCTTTGCTGGCTGACAAGAAAGAGCAAACAAGGTGAAGGGTTGGTGAAATATGTTGTTCAAGGCTGGAACCATTGATGAAAGCCACTGTGGTGCAGTGGTGAGAGACTTGGGTTGAAATACCCACTTCACCGTGAAGATCACTGTATGACCTTGGGCTAGTTGCTCTCTCTCAACCTAACCTACTTCACAGGGTTGTTGTGAGGGACAAAATGTGGAGGAGGACCAAATATGCTACCCTGAGCTCCTTGCAGGAAGGAGGGTATTAAAATGTACAACATAGATAAAAGCCTTCCCCATTTTCAGTTGTGAGGGAAATGGAAGGAGCATTAAAGAGCAGAAAGATGGTTGAAGGCACAGGAGGAAGAAAATATTACAGCTACACTGGAACGTTTATGGTAGATGTTGTCAGACTGTTCCTCAATTAATGTCTTTTTTTGAAAAAAGAAGCTTCTCTAATTGATACTCCCATCCAGAATCATGGCAAGAGGGAAATGCTGGGCTGCAAAAGGGATGCCAGGAAATGAAAAACTCCAAAAATGGATTGCCTTCCTTCTAGTTAAAGCAGTCAAGCATGGAGTAGGAAAAGCATGGTTTATATTGCTAGACCGTTTGCTTCCTGTGATTGGGAATAGGGGGCTGGTTGATATTCTGTCTCCTTACCTAACGTACACCTTAAAAAATACCTGGTTAGAAAGGGTTAGGGAGGAGCGCAAACCTTCCTTAGCGGACCTCCTTAGGGATGCCTGCTTTCTGTTTGGAAACCTATAATCTGGTGGAACCAGACCCAAGCTGCATGAATTTTATGTTGAAGCATAATCAGTAATGGCAATGAGTAAATGGCATTTGTTTGGCACTGTCCAGACTTTCTCCTCTCCTCTACTGCTTAATACGTAGCAGCACTGGCATTGCCTTAACATTTTCCTTTCTGTCCTTCCTTGAAGATGACGGTGCTATAAGGGTATGGAAAAACTTTGCTGACTTGGAGAAGAATCCCGAGATGGTAACTGCCTGGCAGGGCTTATCTGACATGCTGCCAACAACGCGTGGTAGGTATGGGCTTTTTAGCCTATCCAGATTTGGAGGGGTAACTATAACTTGCCATGGCTTGTAATAGGGCTGGGTAACACGGCATAGTTTTCTCTGCTTCTGCCTTCAGTAACATCTGGTTAACTATCCTTTGGACTTTATGGAGTAACCTGAAAAGAGATTTCTCCTCTGCCATGCTTTTAAAAAGAAATCTGTCCTAAATGGAGATGCTAGGTGGGAATAGATGGGGAGATTGTTTTTCCCCCCATAGTGCTGAATAGAGGGATACAGCTGTGTTCTCCAGCCTGGATTCTGATGGAGTTGCATCACTCAAGGTCAGATCTAACTTTTGCTTCTAGGTAGAGAACTGTCCTAAAAGGCTGTACTGAGCACTGCCTTTCCTTGACCTCCTTCTGGCAGCTGGTTATCTCCTCTCAGTTCAGGGCTTAACCAAAAGTTCACCTGTTGCCTCTATCCATTTGGTTTGCTTGTTCAACTCCCCCCGCCCCAGCTTTGCATGCTTCCCATACGACCCTGCTCAGCCTACCTTGACTTTAGCTCTGCTTGCAGTACTTCCTGCCATTCATTGTGGGGGGATTCAGTGGGCGAATAGGAAAGATATATATACAGGATGATAGGCCAGGTAGATGTAAACGACCCAAGTATTTTAGCAATCTAGGCAGGACTAGATGTTAACAAGAGACCCGTCACAAAGCAAGCCACTCCAAGAAGCCGACACGGGGTTACGTGAGCACAGAACCTGTGTCAAACACTATAATAGAAGGATACTTGTTCTGTGTCCAAGACACAAGGACTCATTAATGCTCTGACAGCTCTCATTTCTGAACCTGCATATCTCGGCACTCAGGCCTTGACAACAGCTTATTTGAAAAATTCCTGTTGCTAATCCACTCTTTTGCTTTCCCTTTAAAAAAATTTGTGCGAGCACAGCCAAAAAGCAGTGGCAGTTTTGATATGTCAAAATAAAAATCTCTGTCCTTTGAAAATTAAGAATTTTACATTTCAGTATCACTGCTTACCTATTTTTCTTTAATGTCACTCTCCTCCCTTACATTGCCTTGCTTTTCTTGGGCAATGCATCTTCTAGCTATTCATTTCAGATTCGCCTGCCAGGCTTCTCTCAGATCTCAGACTTTGATAGGTCTTATTCTGGTTCTCTCCTTTAAAATTGCCTCATGGTGCTTTTATTTCTCTGCCTTATCTGGCCTGGCAGCCAGAAAGCTGAAGTCCATTTGCTCTAAACCCAACCTCCACAGCATTCCATTAAAGATGCAAGGAACTGATTGTAAAATGCTGGAAGTTAAACTTGCTGTGGCTGAAATCCTGCCACTTACTGGAATGTCATCAATAGTAGCCAGGAGAAACATGCCATTCTGGAAATCACTGTATTACTCTGGGAAGAGAACAGAGTACTAAACTTTAATCTCAAGTCGATCTCTCCAGGACTTGTCTTCACTGGTCCCTTCATATTTATTTAATGTTCATTTAAAACCCATCTTGCCTGAAGGGTCCTCAGCTGTCCACCTGAGAATCGGAATAACCATTCTGTTATTACAGAATCCAGCTCATTTTATTAATTCGTTTGTGGTTGACCAAATTAGTACAAGATACTGCTAATACAGGAAATTCATCCCAGTGCAGTGTAATAAAAGTATTCAAATCATGACAGAGTCCACACATTTTAAATACAGTACAATTTTGTATATATTTTCTCTGTCACCAACAGAAAAGCAGTTATAGCATGAGTGACCTGTGGCACTCAGGCTAATTTAAAAAAAAATGTGGGTGAAATTGTATCCAGAGCTGGCAATAGGACTTGAGATCCATCCTTGAAGTATAAAGGGCAGGAGAAAATATAGAAAGGTATATCAGCTTCTATGCAAGTCCAACAAAATGAATGAAGTTGATATCTAAGTCCTAAAACAGCACTAGTAACTAGTAACAACACTAGTAACACTTTTCATTAGGATCAACCCAAAGATTCAGTGAGGTACAGTAGTTAGAGTGTCAGAGTAGGATGTGGGAGACCCAGGTTCAAATCTCCACTCTGCCATGGAAGCTTGCTGGGTGACCTTGGGTCACACACCCTCATCCTAACCTGCAATAGAGGGTTAATGGGAGGATAGAATGGAAGAAAGCAAAATTATGTAAACTGCTTTGGGTTCCCACTGGGGGGAAAGACGGGGAATAAATGAGGTAAATAAATAAATAAATAAATGTCATAAATTAGTGGTCAAAGTTCTTGATTTCCATGGAATTCTTCTTCGTTGATTTTAAACAGTACAAAATGGGGGGGGGGGAGATGTTGCTGGACACGATTGAAAAGCCCTTCTATCTGCACAACTTAGCTAATTGTATTACACCTTGGTTGTTCCTGATAAAAGGTTATATTGCTATTTTGGGATTTATTCCACTAGATGAACATAGCTGCCTACAGCTTTTAATGAAATTTAGATGATTATCCATCTAAACCTTTCCTTGCCTCAGATTAGGAAAGAAAAGGCTTCTTTCAGAGGTTTCAAAGGTAGTTTTATATCCTGTTTGTTTTCTTTTAAAGTTCAAGATGGAACAAGAACCTGCTTCTACAGGTAGCTGGTGTATGCTGCTGTAGTGCAATACCCTCACTTCTGATCTCAGCTAGTGACTTAGCAGCCCTTTGTTCAGATTTGACTGAGAGGAACCATTTTAAGAAATTCAGAAATATATTCTGTTTATCCATGATCCCTTACATAGGTATTTCTTGTTCTTTTGAGTTACTGCACAAATATACTCCTAGACTGAAGGAAATTTGCATTTCAGTTAATTACATCTCAATTAACTGAAATGTGTACAAGCAGGGCTCTTTTTGTAGAAAAAGCCCAGCAGGAACTCATTAGCATAATAGGCCACACCCAACAGCAGGAACTCATTAGCATATTAGGCCACACCCTGACAGCACAGCTCATTAGCACATTAGGCTGCACTTCCATGTTACCAGAAGTGTGGTCATCCAGCCACACCCACCTTTTGCTTCTTATTCTGTTTACCTTGTTTGTTGTCAAAACCCAGGGCTTTTTTTGTAGAAGGAACTCCTTTGCATGTTAGGCCACACACCCCTAATGTAACCCATCCTAATGAGTTTCTGCTGTTGGGTGTGGCCTATTATGCTAATGAGTTCCTGCTGGGCGGGGCCAGCTCGGGAGCCAGCTGGAACTCCGTTCCTGTGCGTTCCTGCCCCAAAATAGCCCTGTGTACAAGTATATTTATCTTTAACCAGTGAACACCAGCATAGAAAATGGTGTCTGTGTACAAATCCAGTTGCATCCTTGTGTTTTCCATTAACTTGTCCACTGCTTGTTGCTGTCATCTACTTCCCCAGTTTAAAAGATGAGACACACCAATATTTTGTCCATGCATCAGAAGTCTATTTGTATTTGCTTCAATATATCCCACCATGAGTTAAGAGAGTACAAGAAAGGGAAGAAGATGAAAAGGAAATGCACTGCAAGAAATTCCAGCTAGCATATTCGCACAAAATGTACCCATGAAATACTGGATTGCAAATATAGGTAATCTTGAATAATGGACATTAATGTTTGCGTCTCAGGAGTAAAGATCTTGCTGTCTGAAAAGTACTGGGTTCGGTATATCAGGACGCGGACCACGACATCGGAGAAGACGCGTTTATTCATACTTAACACATGGAACAGAAACTAACGGCCGGTTGGCCAACTTTATACAATTGTGGAGGGACCCCCCTAGGTCCTATTGGCAGGTTTGAACTTCCCGCCAATGTCCCTATTGGCTCCTTACTTGTAGTTCAAGAGCCTAGTCCCTATTGTCTTCTGGATTGAAGCTTTAGCTGCCTCTGGCTGGTGTCAGGCAGTATCCGAAGACATAACACCCCTCCCCCCATAGTTCCGTCACTACAACAGCAGTGCCAGCCTTTGCTGCAGAGTCTGCTGGTACAGTTCAGCACAAGGTTATAAGGTGCCTGGTGTTTCTCTGAGATCATTCTGTTCATGGCCTCAATATTCTGTGTTGTGCTTCCGTCTTTACATGACCAGAGGAAAAATATCCATGTTTCAGCAGCTCTGCTGGCTATAGTTTTTCCTCCATCTTCCTCCTGCACCTCCTAATCCTCTGTTGATGATGTAATCTTCTTGATGAAAAAGAGTTCACTGACCTCACAAGGGGACTGAATGAACAGCAGGAGCAGAGGACACTCTTAAGGAGTGGACATGACCACTTTGATTAAGCCTACTCATTTGTGGAGAGCAGACTAGAGTAGTTTAATAGAGCTAGAAGGAAATAAAGCTTCTAACTGACTGTAGTTCTTTTTCTGTAGCAGAACACTCACGGGTGACTCTATAAAGGGGAAGTCAGAGGGCTTCAGCGCTGCACTGACCATATATCACCATAGCAAATAGGCTTTTTTCTTAGCATTGATTATTCCCTTTCTTGGCTTATATCTACCATCCAGAATCATTGTCTAGCTGGAGTGTAAGGCAGACAGGAGTAAATCTCATGCTGATAATACTCTAACATTTTGGACTTTGTGTGGCACTGAATCAGATGAAATCACGGGGCTTATGCGTTTTATGAGCTAACTATGGTTCAGAACTGACCTGATGCTGAAATAATCACCATCTAACTGGTGTTGTCTGTAATGAAACACCCAGGGACCAATGCAGACATCACCGGATGGTATGTGCACATAGTTCATATTGTACCACTGTAGAGGGGCAGAAAGACAGACTTTTAATACATCCAGTACCTGGTCATAGTAGCTTTTGAGTGTTTGTCTTAGCTATTCAACTACTGCTTTGGTTTGTTCTGTTACTTATGTCAACAGAACTGAGCAAGCCGAAGGGCGGGGGCTTCTAGTTGTTTTCCATACTGGTTCATTTCTCTGTGAGTTTTTGTGCAGTAGTTTTTGAAGTAGATGATCAAATCTGAAGACAATGCAGACCCTGTGCAAGTTTATGCTGCAGTAAGCTGCAGTCTAGGCAAGCTACTATGCCATCAGAGTTGAGAGTGTTGGACCAGGATATGAGAGGCCTGAGTTCAAATTCCCACTAAACTATGAAGCTTACTGGATGATCTTGGGCCCTGACCTACTTCACAGGATTTCTGAGTATAAAATGGAAAAAAAGGAGAACCATGAGCTGGATCCACCAGCAGAGTTCGCAGACAGGGATGGTGTAATTAATCTTTACCTTATTCCCCGAGTAGCCTGCCATTTGTCCCAAAACTCTTCTCTGAGGACTGGAAGACCCTTGCAAGCAAAATGAGCCATATAATGGGGGCTGCTGTGACGATGAAGAACCAACTAAAATCTGCTCCTTTTGCTTCTTCTGCTGAGGTAAATCATGAACAGAAGAGGGGAGAGGGGGCAATCTGATTTGATTCCTCATTGTCACTGCAACCCCTCCCCCTCCTCTGGAGCATCTTGCTTGGGAGGGTCTTTTGATCCTCAGATAGGCGTTTCAGGGCAATCAGCATGCTGCTGGGGGAAGGGAAAGAAAGGAGGTAAGATCCACTCCTCCAGCACTTTCCATGAATTCAGTTGGATCCAGCCCAGCATATGTTATCCTGAGCTCCTTGAAGGAAAGGTGGGAATAAAAAAGTAATAGATTTTAGTCACACTGCAGCAAGTTTTGCAATGTCACTAGTTACTTCAAAAGGCTAGTGCTGGTTTGCATGAATGGCACACAAGAGTCCACACAGAACACAAAGTCTGATTCTGATACAAATAGGGTACTCAAGAGGGCTGGTTTAGCAGAAAGCACAAGACAGGCTCTCAGCTAGGTCTCTGTGCTGATACAAAGAGGACATGTCAATTCCTGTCAGTATAATTGTCATTTTGTATAACAATACTTTTTCCAAACAAATTTGTGAGAGGCAAGCAGAGCAAGGCACAGTCTTTCCCTGGGTCCCATTGGCAACTTGGTCAAGATTTCTGTCTTTCTGTAATCAGTACTGGCTGGATGTTACCAGTCTATACAGCAAATCATCTTGTGCAAGGGGACCTTAAATCATAGTCTTTAAATGAGGCTACATGTTTCTGTCAGCACTGCTTTCCCTTCTCACAGATTTAAGCAGGTGAACTTGAGTGTGTGAAAGGATCTTTGCAAGACCTGCCCTGGACAGGACAAGCTGGTTCTCTTCCTCATATACATGGTGTCCTGTGGGCAATCCCAAGGACAGCTAACCTCAGGATGTACTTGTAATGCCATTTCTTTATGGCTGTGCTGCTGCTGCTGCTGCCACCCTGCAGCTCTTTTTATTATCCAGCTTTCTTTCTGATGACTTCAGATGAATCCTCTTGTACCACTGATTTCCCACACTTAAGCAGTTGTTTGAGCAGAGCCTCTGTAAATTGCCCTGCCTGTCTAACTGAGTGCTCATTACCAAATCATTGAAGTGCACTGTGTTGAAGCCCTGTTCCACGGCCAAGCTGGTCCCTCACTGAGTGAGGCCTAAACAGCAAATGCTTGCTGTTTTGTGTTTATTTTTTTTCAAAGCAGGTGTTTTCTGTTGAGGATCATTGAATGTGGCTTTTCATTTCTCACTCTCACTTGACAATGAGAGGCCTTTAGCTCAGGTTCAGGAGAAGGGGTCATTCTTAGAGAGAAAATTACCAGCAATATGTGGACAGGAGCAAAAAAAAAAAGTACAGTCTCTTTTTTTTTCTCCCCATGGTTAATGGCTTCCTAGGATGGCTGCAGTGTTCAAGCTACTTGTCTGCCTTTGTTCCTAAATGGAGGCCTCTGCTGCTTCTCTCTTAACTGTGTTCTTTTCTGTTCCTTTTGGGTTGCTTTTTCTAATCCTTTTTACGATTTGTTTTGCTTTGGCTGACCAACTTACCCTTAGCATCAACCCCTTAATCCCTGTCTTCTCACAGGTCTGGCCCGAAGGGTTTCAATCTATCTTGACAGAAGTAAACAGGGAGGTGAGTGCTCTCTTTCCTCTTACCTATGATCAGCTTGGGAGGGGTGGTTCTTCTAATTCATCTTTTTTATTTTAAAAAATTGCCATTCCTTCTAACGTCTACTGAGCTCTGTTAGTTCTTGGAAGGTGGATTAGCTTCTTGTGCCCCTTCTATTCCTCATCTTATATTGCCTGTCAATAATGAACAATATAGACTTCTAAACTGTGGTATCTAATATCCTGTCCAGACAGGTCTCTGTGTCTAGTAGGGGAAAGCTGAAGGGAGGTGATTTTTCTTTGTGTATTGCTTCAAGTGTTTGTTCACAAAATGGGGATTTGTTTTTAATGTGAATGCTTTAAACAAGGATTGTGACAAGGCAAGAATTCCCACCATTTGCACACAGCTTTCTCCTGCCCCTTCCCCCCATCCCGCAATGTTCTGGTATGCTTCAACTGGCTGTTCTGGAATACTTGAATGTCACTTTTAAAAATCTTTCTTTCCCTTTTGATTGCTACCATTATTTAAATTTGTGACAAGTATAACACTGAACGAAAATGAATACTAGGCCCAGCCCTCCTATTGTAATCTGGAAAGTGGGTTTCCTCCTTTGTGTGTTAACCATTGTATGTGCAGCTCTCCCGAGTCAAGCTGCAGGAACCGGTGGTGGGATGGGACCAGAAATCTTTCTCAGTTGCTTCTGCCTTTGAGATAGGGACAGATGGCTGGCACAACAGGACATTGTGTATGTGGTATGTGTCAGAAAGCTGATGTAATCTTCTTTGGTGCTTTATGAATTATTAATATTTGTTAGTTGGTGAGGGCTGGAATGTGTCTGCAGTGATTGCCAGAACAAAAGGAGCTGCATGTTTGTGACTCAGGCTTGTTTGAACCTGGAGCATTTATACTTCTGATTACTGGGAGGCAGTGGAGAAAGAATGTGCAAAATGAATGCATTACTACTATTAGCATCCTGACTCTCCATTCTCAAGGAAATGGCTGACTAACTGACAGGATTGAAATTAGAAAGATGGAGGTTGAAGGGGTTTCCTGTTTGATACACTGAGCATCAGAGCAAGCTTAAGGCAGCAACCATGGAGAATCAATACTGACAATGCTCAGACGGTAACAGTCTGTCATGAATGCATAGACAGATGGCTGTAATTCAGTACCAGCCTGGCACACTTATTGAACGCCTTGGAACTCTACATTTTAGGGATTGGCATAAGGTGGCTCACGAACTAAAGTTCATGATGAATTTTGGCCAGTTCGCAAACTGAAGTTCATGGCAGGTCAATCAGCACAAACTTTCAAGTAGTTTGTGGTGGTTTGTGGCGGTTCGTGAATAGATACATTTCCAGACAATCTCCACTTAGGGCTCTTTTTGCAGAAAAAGCCCAGCAGGAACTCATCAGCATACTAGGCCACACCCAACATCAGAAACTCATTAGCATATTAGGCCACACCTCTGACGGCGCAGCTAGACAGGGAGATACAGGGGTTCATCATAACAGGTTAATACAAATCACAGTCATAGAATCATAGAGTTGGTAGGGACCTTCAGGGTCATCTAGTCCAACCCCCTACACAATGCAGGAAATACACAAATACCTCCCCCTCCACACCCTCAGTGACCGCTATTCGATACAACAGATCCACCCCATAGATCTATACAGGGGCATTACAATCTCAGCTGTTTCATTCTCAATCCCTTCCCTAATCATCCCTAATCAAACTTAAGAGTTTGGCTTTTTTTCAGTGCTGCAGCACACTGAGTTAGAACATAAGAGAAGCCCTGTTGGGTCAGGCCAGTGGCCCATCCAGTCCAACACTCTGTGTCACACAGTGGCCCAAACCCAGGTGCCATCAGGATGTCCGTCAGCAGGACCAGAACTCCAGAAGCTCTCCCCTGTTGCCCTCCAAGCACCAAGAATACAGAGCATCATCCTGGAGGAAATGGCTACTGTGGGGAGCGGACTCCCTTGCATTAGACTCCCCCCCCCCATCTCTGTGCCTGACTGGGCTCGGAAATGTGGAGGAGGACGAGGAAATGGGCTGGGGGGGGAGACTATCATTATGGAATGATCCTTCTCTCCTAAGGAATGTCAGATAGGAAAGGGAAAAAGCCCTTTCGAGGGCTGAAAAGAGTTGGGGAAAATGTGGATTGTGGCCCTTCCCTGTAGTGGTTCCTTCCCCTATAATGGATGCTCTCTCTGCAGCCACCCCACATTTTCTCCTTCGAGCTGGATTAAAGCAGGTTTGTTCTTAATCCAGCTCAATGGGGAACAATATGGGAGCCAGACAAGTCATGGATCATGATGTCATCCAGATGTTCGTAAGTACTGTGCCGCCTTCCTGCAGCTCATGCGGGAAAAATCCCTATGTGGAAACAGCCTAAAACAGGTTTTACAACATGAGAGGCTTTTCTTGATAAGTCTGTCTTTCCACAGTGATCCCACCCACATTGTTAGTTTTGGGGAGGGCTTTCTTGCTTCTGTATAAGTAGCATTCCCTGCAGTCAGCCTCACTCTGCCTGAGCGAGTTGTGTTCTTTTGAGACTGGCCGTTTTCAGATTCTTTTTGGTATTTTGCAGATTGCATGGCTGATGTGTGACTGAACTTTGTGAGAGAAAGTGTGATTGATTTGCTTTTCTTACTAGCAAGGTTGACAGACCTTTTTTTTTAAGCTGCTGCTTCATGCTTGGGCTGGGTGCTGCCTCCTCTCAGCACAAAGAGCACGAAGCAAGCTGTTTGTGCTGGGAGGAGGCAGCACCCAGCCCAAGCATGAAGCAGCAGCAGTTGGGGCTTGGGCTTGGCGTCACCTCCTCCAAACCCAAACACTGTACTTTGCGCTGTTTGGGCTTGGTAAGATTGCCAGTTGACCCAGACAGTCCAGTATTTTCACCAACTGTTTAAATGGACAGTGAGTGAAATTACCAGACTGTCCAGGTTTACATTGGATACCCAGCAATCTCATTTACTAGTGAAGAAGAGAGTGCTGCTATTCAGTTTGTATGTTTTCCCCGATTTCCTTTCCCTCTAGCATTAGTTCAAGTGTAAATCTGTCTGTGATGCCACTTCTGCTCTGTCTGTATGTTTGTTGTGTCACTGTGTATGTGGCTGTGATTATTTGCAATGTACATAAATATACTGGATACTTAAGTGTTATTCATACTGACTAAATGCATACAAAGTGATAGTAGTCAGTCCCTTTCTGTGTATATGCATTACAGTCTATACACACTTCAACTCAGTTCTGCTAAGCATGATTCGATGGTTTGTTTTCCATTAAGCAGTTACACTCACTTTCTGAATAGTGATCAAGAGACAGGGAATTGTGCTACCTTGCTTGGCGTTCAGAGTACTTCCCTCATCTTGTTTCTTCAAGGCACTGAATGCAAGCCTCTGTGCTCACTGCATAACTGGGGCTGGCTTTCTTGGGGTTTTAAATTCCTTCCTGGAGTGATCTTCAATGCTGTCTGCCTTGCAGGGGTGCCAGATCTGCCTCTGACTGTTATTCTAGTGATGACTTTTAGCTTCCTGTAAAATTTGTTACTGTTTCCTTTCTTCCTAAAATTTAGCAGGTGTGATTCTCTGAATAAGGAGTACAGTCCTAGAAAATTTGAATCAGATTGGATTGACGATAATATTTCAGCCAGAAATATGTTTGGCATTGAAACCAGTAAAAATGAATAACACTATAACAAAACAAACAGCATTTTTAAAATTAAATATGTGCACCCTAGTTTACTTCAGTTTAACACATTAAAGAAAGCAGTACTTAAAACTCCCATTTTTGGTCAAATAAATGCCTTATTTAAAGACATTCAGAGGTGGTCAGGAGTTTTCTCCTTAGGAGAGTGCTCTTAACATATATCAGATCTTGTATTTTTCAGTGTTTAGGGGGAGAGAGATAGAGCTGGAAGGATAAGAGGAGAAAAGAGCAACAGGGCAGAGAACAGAAACATGGCTGTATTCGGAAGTCCTTGAATTTGTATGCTGTGCAGAAATTGAAGACATCCTGGTTTGAAAAAAGACACCGTTTGGTTTATCATCTGAATTGGAGGAAAACAACAAAGTGATTTGTCCTCTTGACCTATTAGCCAGAATTCTGAAACACAGTTTGTAAGTAAGAGGACAAACCACAATTGGCGTTATGTCTGAATGCAGCCTCAGTCAAACCAGGGTACTGAGTTAGGGTATATTCTGTAGAGTAAATGTTGTAAAATGGAAAACGTGTTAAATTTTAAATTGAAAAGATATTGTCAAAATTCCATTCATGGAAATATCTAGTAACCCTGTTTGAGAGAGGAAGGGGAATTCCTGAGGGAGAATTCTTATCATGGAGCATTTGTGCTATAGAAAAACAGGAATCAAAACCTGAACAAAACAACCCTGATCTAGTGGAATCTAAAGGGGGTCTAATAGGGAAATGATTAAAAAATGAAGTCAAGGATTGAATCCCAAAGCCTGCTTGTGTCTAGGACTGACATCTGTTGTGCCTCTGTAGTCAAGACAAAGAGCTGTGCCTTATGAGAGAGCAGATCTTTCATGCAAATAAAGTAATTAGGGGAGCTCTGGCTCTGTTTTGAGGCCCTTTGGTTTGTTAAATTAAGCTTCCCTGTGTCCTAGATATTCTTCTTTTGTCATGTGCTACTGTGGGCGATGCTTGGCACAGAAGGAGTGTCACTTGGAGGCACATTTTTAGGAATTAATGAAGAATGAGGTAATTCAGCCTTCCCACTGCTGCCTGGAAATTAAAACAGGGACATGCCTCATTCATCAGCCAAGAGGATGTATATATAAAAGATCAACTGCCTGTCTCTGGGATGCCCTTGTGTAGTGGATCATGCATACATTTCTTCACAAATCAAAATACCCGTTAGACACTGACTGCATTCTAGTAAAGGTTTACAAAAAACACTCTAGTAAGAGTAGATGTACTTGGAATGCAACTGCTTGTGATGCCCAGGTACTAAACTGAAATGTATACAGGGAACTGTTCCATGGGGAAGCATCTCTAAC